CTTCCTCTGAAATACTTTTAATATGGTTTATTTTAAAAAATTAATCATTTCACATTATTCAGAGTTATGAAAAAAATGCTCAATATAACTTTTGAAAGAATTTGATAAGTTAATAAAGGAGAAAAAAATAAAAATCAACGAATCGTACAATACATAATCAACCGGTGATATAATAAATAGGACTTTTGTTATTATAATAGTATTTATGATTTGTTATCTGCAATCTTCTAGCTTTAGATAAGTTAAAAATGCGAATCAAAAATTTTATAATGGCCCAATATGGCCAGAAATTAATTTCTATTCAAAGTTGAGAAAAGTTCAAAGAGTAAGCGAAAGTTGTGTGTTGCGCGCACCAGGTTTTTTTAATTTGATTACAATAATAATTTATTTTATATTATTTTTGGTTAATTTATTATTTCTATTATAAAACAACTTAAATATAAACATAAATCTGTTCCCTAGGTCTGTAACGCAGTCTACGTCCGGCTGAACTACACGCAGCCTCTTTGCGCCTGCCCGTCTAGGTACAGAGAACCCTGTTCCGCCTCACTTAACGCTGATGACCACCACACAACTGAACTCTCAACGTCCCCTAGCGGAAAGGTAAGTATTCTCGCCATATTCTAGTCATTATTCCATCCACAATGATACCTTCAGTCCCAGAAAAACGGTAAAGGGCGGGTGTTTACAAAAATAAATTATTCTGAATCAATAATAAAACGACTATTCGGAGATGAAGAATGTAATAAAATATATTTAAACTGACAGAGAAATTGAGTCCATTCGGCGATGTATTATAAAAAACTATATATCTTATGGTTTATCATATGCAAAGATAATTAAAGTATCTGCAAAGTTTTGAAGAAAAAAAAAAACTGGACCGAAATTACCGAAGATACCGCGCTCGTTTTTTGTATTGCTCTTTGCAAGAGTGATCATACCTGATATTTTGGTTTATCATTTTCAATAATGAACCTTTGTGATCGACCAAAAAAAAATTCAAAAACTTAACCGCCTCTCAATTTTTGTCCGTCCGCGCATTTTCTCCGACACTACTGGACCGATTTTTTCAAATTTGGATATAAAATCAGAGCTCACCAGAGGATGATCCTCCTTCATCGACATTACTATCCGCCTTTTACTTTCAAAATGGCGGCCGAAAAACCTTCGTTGCTATAAACTATAGCGCCTAAATGAACGCACCGATTTCGATGAAACTTCGCTAAAGTCATTTTCTCGTCGCCCTTTAAATTTATCTTTAAGACATACTTCAACGAAAAGAAGCTGGAAAAAAAGTTACAAGGGATGGTAAATTAAATTCCGAATAAACTCAAAAATTATACAATTTTTTGTGTATCTTGTGATTAGATGTTTCAAAGGTATTTAAATTTCCTAAAAAAATGAAGGAAGTTTCATCGAAATCAAAGCATTATTAGTAGAGATATCGCGATTTTAACATATTTTTTGGTTTATTATTTTCAATAATGAACCTTTGTGATCGACCAAAAAATTCAAAAACTTAACCGCCTCTCAAAATTTGAGGTTTCACGTTTTAGGATACGTAGAATTCGAAAAACGAATACAAAATTTTTTGTCCGTACGCTGTACGCCGTACGCCGTACGTTATTGTATATTTTTGCGGTTTCTTAAAATCTGACGGAATTTCCTTTAAAAAAAAGTCGTTAAAATCGGACAATGAGGAGCAAAGATATAGTTTCTAGTTTTTTTTTTTTTTTGTATGTTCTACTGCAAAGGATATATCCTTTGTTTTGGTTTTTTAATTTTGAATGTATTACTGAAGTAATGCTAGTTTTTTTTTAGAATATTACTTATGATTAAAAAAAAAATTTAGTCCAATAATTGGAATCACCTTTTATTTATTTTTCTTTGTAATTAGGAAGGTAATGTTACTTTAGATGTATAATTGTTTGGAAATAATTATCCGCTAGTGCTAGATCCAGGATTTAATTAATTTGACGATAATTAATTTGAAAAAAAACAAAAACGAACTACCTTTATGACATGGTGTTTAAGTGATTCTTTAAGTCCTATTAAATGTAACTACACGAACAATATTACTTTAAGAGATAGTTATTAATATTTTTTTCTATAAAATATGGTTATATTTTATCATTTTGTGGTGGGGGGGAGGGGACTTCAGCCCGAAAGTCTCTTCCCCCCGTAGATCCGCCTGTGGCTGCTTGAAAATAATAAAACACGATATAAACAGTTGGGGAAAGGCGGTAAATCGGGAGACGGATAATCGAGGTTCTAGTGCATCATCCAAAGCGGAACTTTAACGTGTCCCACGGCAAATCTGCCAACACCGGGACTCATTGCTTAAAAGTGGGACTGTCCTCTTGAAAGCGGGACGTCTAGTCACATCAGCTGTAACCAAGGCACGGATTTTTATGCAATTGATTTTTTGGTTTTCGAGCGTTTTTTAATCTAGTGGTCAAATATGCAGATGCAATTAGTCAATTGCATAATTGCATACTTTGATCCTTTCAAATAAAAAACGCTGGAAATTATTTCACAATGGTTTATTATTTCCAAACAATTATACATCTAAAGCAACATTACCTTCCTAGTTACAAAGAAAAATAAATAAAAGGTGATTCAAATTATTGGACTAAACTTTTTTTTTTAATCATTAGTAATATGCTAAAAAAATTAGCATTACTTCAGTAACACATTCAAAAACCAAAACAAACGATATAACCTTTGCAGCAGAACATATAAAAAAACTAGAGACTATATTGATTTCAACGATTTTTTTTTTTAAATTCGTTAACTTTTAAATAACCATACAATATCCACAAAAAAGTGTAAACTTTTTGAGTTATTCGGAATTCAATTTTACCATCCCTCTTAACTTCTTTTCGTTGAAGTAGGTTGTATAGATAAATTTAAAGGGCCTCGAAAAATGACTTTAGCGAAGTTTCATTGAAATCGGTACATTCGTTTAGGAGCTACAGTCTATAGCAATGCAGTTCTTCGGCCGCTATTTTGGAAGTAAAATGTGGATAGTAATGTCGATGAAAGAGGATCATCCTCGGGTGACCTCTGATTTTATATCCAAATTTGAAAAAAATCGGTCCAGTCATTTCGGAGAAAAAGCGCATTCGACGGACGCCGGACGGACAAAGAAAATTTTATTCGTTTTTCGAATTCCACGTATCCTGAAACGTAAAACCTCAAATTTTGAGAGACGGTTAAGTTTTTGATTTTTTTGGTCGATTACAATGTTTCATGATGGAAAATAATAAACCAAAATAATGATAATCATTATAAATAATGAATTAAAATGGATAATACAATTGTAGGTTGATTTTTAACCGATAAATAACAGCTAAATAACGCTACCTTCAGATATTGACTTCCTAAAATACGGATTTGTTTTCTTGTTTTTTTATCTCCTGTTCTCATTCCTTCTAACTTCTAGAGACACAGTTTCCATTCCTTACTTTTTTACATGGGGATATATTTTTTTAATTTTATGTACATCATTTTTTTTTTTAATTTAAATAACTTTTCGATTCCAAAGAGGAAATAGTTTTTAAAACTGAAAAGAATAATTTTATTTAATTTTTAATCCTTCATATATATCTTTTGTTTTTTCCAATTCCTCTTGTAGGCATATTAGTGTAATTGAATAGTTTAGACGTTTTATTGCGTATTTAGACATTTTTCACTGCGTATTTTATATTTTATTACTGAATATTTGACAAATTTTTAATACACATTATATGACATATTGTTTATGGTTTTTACTGGATAAAAAACCTGGTTAAAACTAATGCTCGAATTTAAATTCAAGGAAACATGATTTTATTATTAGAAGCATAGATGGTAAAAGCTAGAAATATAAGTAACATTTTGTCAAAGATTAATTAAATTAACATGTAATTTTAATAATTAAGCAATTTCCAACCCCAAAAATTTAATTCAGTCTATATCAAATTTTGCCCAAATTTGTAAAAACAGGCCACATAACAATTTGCGGAAAGATTTAAAATGACTCGTTTCACAAAGATATTGAATCATATTTTAGAAAAAATTACAATGAATGAAAAAAAAAATGCATTTGCATACGAATCCGGAGCTTAATAATAAGCTAGAAATCGGACCATTATACTAAATCATGTTCCATAGAAAACCAGAAGCTGTATTCAGACCAAAGAAAAATAATGTGATACTGTATCTTGCTTTCATGACTGTTTCCACACCTAACTCTTCATCTGCTTTATCAAGATTTTCCTAGTTAACCAAATCATGGGCATGCCCAAGCACCATTATTTGATTGCCTAGAAATAAAATTTTTTCGACAGAACTCCACTTTCCAATAACATATTCTAGTTATAATTTAAATAAAACCTGAACAAAGAGAAATAATTTCAGATATTTCTTTTTTTAATTCATCATAATTTCTACATCCAAGTCATTAGACTTTTAGTGTGCGCCAGAGTTAAGAAAATCAACAGATCCTGGAAAATAATCAAAAGTTGTTTTTTCCTCACTCTCTCACTCTTTAAACATTCCTGAAGTGATAATCTTACATTAGTCAGAAATGAATATAGCAGTTAGAGGGAGACACTGATATTATTATAAAATGAGAAACAGACCCTAAGTATGAGGATTATAATACTATCATATATAATTTATATATTTATTTTTTAGATCCTCACATTGGTAAAGACTTGTGAGCCAGTTGCGGATATGAGGTTGTGCAGGTCTCCAAGAGATTGGTCTTTATTGGCACTTCAGAACATAAGAACAGGAAAGAGTCACTATCTCGTCATCTGTCGATGCCCAGACTCGAGTCTTTTAGGTGATTTAAAAATATTTTTTTTTATTTTCTTATACAAAAAAAATCTTCAATGATTCAATAATAACCTGTGCAAACATCCTTTTATAGAAGGACCAATGAGCCACGATCAACCTACATACGCAAGTGTACCAGGTATCAGGGTATACGGAATGATGTGTGTAAACAAAACTTATTCAGCATCTCCTACACCGACAACTTCGAAACGTAAAGCAAGACCATTACGCGATTCAAGAAGTCTAAGGATAAAAGGTGAGATAGATAATTATATAATATATAATAATTAATATAATATATATTATATTTTTAATAATATTTTTATATTTATTTTATTTTATTTTATTTATTTTAATATTTATTTTATTTTATTTAATTTATTTTAATATTTTATATGTATAATTAAATAATACGTACTTCTAAGAAGCCTTATTAAATATTATAATGTTGATAATTAAAAGAATTCTATTATATCACTAAATATAACCTAATGAAGGAGGTATATATTAAATAGCAAACAAAGCAAAAAAAGACTTGAGCGAATATTCCCAAGTGATTTTAACTATAGTAAGATTCTCCTTAAAAAAGAATAATAGGCTGAAACATTGGATAAGAAAAAAGGACTGAATTAAAGTTTATTACTAATAAGAATCAATTCTTAAACAATTCAAGTCTTAAACAAAAATTAAAATATAAAATTGCCAAAATACTTGTTTAAATTAAATTTATAAAGCTTTTTTAAATGTTCCCTCCAATATAGGGCTAGAAGCATATTCACGATTTTCTATTTCAAAATTAAACAAACTCAACTTATTTCAATATTTAATTAATTTAAACTGGAAATTCTTGTTGTAAACACAATTCATTTAATATAAACCAAAACAAATAAATCTTATAGTATAGGGTTTAAATCTAAGTTCTACTTTGATCTATTGACTTGTATTGGTATGGAGTACCCAAATATTCATTAACAGGTAGCTGGAAATGCATAAAATGGAATGTTTACCAGAAAATTTTACAAAATATTTTTAAATAAAATCAATTCAGTTGAACGATAATGATTCATATTTTTTAAGTATAGAAGGTGTTCTATTCACTTCTTGCAGTTATGAAACATCATTAACAAGTTTATATAATGTATATTAATATATGATAAACCAGTCATATGCTTATTCAACATTAATTAATTAATTATTACAAACATTATGCTTTTAAACATTAATTATTCAACATATTACTTCCAGATGCGGGTCTCCCATTCCCATGGCACAAGGTGAAAATCTTACTACAGGCAGCAAATTTGTAGAAAAGAGACTAAAAGGAACATGGATAAAACAAGGAGATAGCACAAATAATACTGTGCTCAACCTCCGCAAACTAGGCATTAACGGGTAATAATTTATGTAAACTAACGAGTTTATGTAATTGTTCCTTACGGAATAGTGTCGAATGAAACCGTATAAATCTCATAATTTTTACTGTTATTACAAAAATAATAGCCCACCATATTTATTTCAGTAAAGTATATTTAGTCAGACAAACAAGATAATTATAGTTATTAAAAAATTCATACAAATTTATAAACATTTGTGATTTAGACATCCGTTTCTTAAACCAAACTATATGCTGTAAATAAAAGCTTTTATTTATTTTATTTATGTACCTAAATTATAGTCATGAATAAATCCCATGAAACATATAATTGTAAAAGGATAATAATTATAAAAATGAACTTCCTAGAATTAAATTTAAGAGATTTAAAGTTGTAATAAGTGTAGAATTAAATATTTAGATGTTAAGCATATTTATGAAATTTATTAGCCGATATAGATATATATATAACTCAAGAAATGTTTGGTTTCTAGAACTTCTTCGATTAACGTGTTATGTAAAACAATTGATGCTGTGCAGTAGAAATGTATGTTATAGATAATTTATAACAAATTGTATATTTATTTTATAAGTTTACACCTCCCTAGGGGTTTTCATGTAATATTTGTGGTTCAGTAAGAAAGAAAAATAGGAAAAACTCGTGGGATGATGTAAACAATGGTGATTTAAACATAAAATAAATTATGTAATTTAATTTTTTTTTTTTTTTTTTTTTATTGAACCTACACCAATCCTCCAATCAATCTAAAACATAACAATAACAAATCTATGACCAATAAATTCAACCTGAAGTATTGCAGACATTATTAGAAATATATATATATATATATATATATATATATATATATATATATATATATATATATATATATATAAACAGTCATCAGACTGTTTAAGAAAACCTAATATTGATTAGGTCTAGAGGTTTCAGAATTAGCAGCAGAGGTTATAAGCTTCTTTTTATATGTACAACTAGGTAAGATAATATGTCAATTTTCAACAGTTACTATCATTCATATTCTTTATAAAAAATAATATTTATAAATTTTGTAGTGTAAATTGAACAATTCAAATAGACAATCTATGGGACAGGCATCAATTTAAGAAGAAGAATAAAGTGGAGGACATATAAAAACACTGGATTTAATCAAAGTTATAGATAATATAAAGATAAAAGCAAAAACACAAGCATGAAAAAATTTATAAAAACAAGTAATTGAATTGATGCTTATCAATGAATAATTCTTTTTAGCAATAGCATGATTCGTAAACATGATCATTATCATTTATATCTAAAGTTTTACATATTTCTTTTATAGTTGAATACGTTTACCTTTCTAGAGTAACGTATAGGACATAGGGCTCTCCATGCGCAGATGCTAGGGGAACTACAAATAATGGCATTTAATATATCACACACAAATTCAAGTTTTATTTCTAAACAATAAGCCCAAAGTATAAAAAATAATATTATTATTTGAATGTTATCCCTATAATTCAAATTAATAACATAAAAGGACTATAAACTGTCGCTGCTTTCATATATATATTCATTTTTTTACTTTTTGAAAGTAATTGAAAATATATTCATTTTTACTTTCACTTACCTATATATGTAATATATAGTAAGGGTAAGTATTGCGATCGTGAAAATTTTTGAATTTGAGTTTTAAACGTTTTGAGGTCCCCTGAGTCCAAATAACCAACTTCAACAAAATGGTCAATGTGTGTGCAAGCCTACGTGTGTGTGTGTTAACAGTCAAAAACAAAAAGTTGTAAGGAAGTGAAATTGCATATTTAAGGTTTTTATACGTTAGTGATGTTACAGCAACTTTTTTGTCAATATCGGCTAATGGGACTTTATATAATGGACTAAACACATTTTTACGATTACCTCGAAAACCACTCTAACGATTTTGATTAAATTCATCATATCAGTGTAAAATTAAGCAGTTTTAAATAAAAAATTGTTTTTATTCTACTCTAACAGGGCTTAAATGGCTAATTTTCAATATTAACTTCCTCTAAAGTACCTTTAATTTTTTTTATTTGGAACAATTGACCATTTTACATTAATTTCTAATATGAAAAATGGTTTAATATAAAATATGAAAGAATTTGATAAATAACTAAAGGAGAAATAAGAGATTGTAACGGAGAATAGTTTTAATTGAGGAACATAAGGAATACGAGCGTACCCAAGCTCTCTCGAAAGATTAGAACACGCTTTCATATGTATCATGAGATTAATATAATATGGACTCCGATAATATTACATAAAAATACATATGTGGTTTTCATAAATGTTATTGTTGGTATTATTTAATGTTTAATTGTAAAGATTACAGCGATATAAATATTAAAATGTGTATATATGAGGGAACTTATACAAATAAAAATACCCACAATGAAATATAAATAAATATAGAGTCTATAATTTTACTTTCACTTTGCTATGTCTGAAAATACTTATTTCTGCTAAAAAGAGGGTGATAAGTGAAAGTTTTGTGATGCGCGCACCGCACCAGATTTTTTACTTATACGTCCTGAAAACTCTTCATTTAATCCCCTGTATCACATAAAATTAAAAATTTTCCAACTTTCAATGACAAAAAGCTAGGACTTTATATCTCTATTTTTAACTTAAACGATTCATTACTCAGAATAAACAGCATATATACAATGTATAAATATGCAAATACACCCCATAATAGATAACAGATATTGGAGAGTTAACCAAATTAATTGTTGATACAAACTAATCATAATGTCTAATTGTTTAAATAGTTAAGCATGCTATGACTGATAATATATTATAATCGACTTACCTAAGACTTCAGCATTGACTTGTATGTTGCACTTATACATGGCAGCCATGAGTCTCTGTGGTTGGGCTTGGAAACCCTTTCTGCAACCTTCTTTAACAGCAGACATTATCTGGCCGGAGAAAGGGCCATAAGCACCGCTGAAACAATTTTTGTTCATCAACTTCCTCAAATAAAAAAAGGAAAAGTAATAAAAAAACTAAGCGATACAAATAAACAACCATCATAAGAATCAAAGACTGTACAAAATATTCAACATTAATTGAATTGAATGTTCAAATGGACAATGTAAATAAGTGTGTTTTTAGGATAAATTAAATCATTGTTAATGATAAAGGGGTAAAATGATATATTATTAATATTTCTTTGTTCCACTCACACTAATTCAATATTTGGTCTACAGCCGAATTAATAGAGGTGCCCATTGAATATCAGCCTTATATTAGGAAAAGATAATTTGAATAAAGTGTTCTAAGAATTCAAAAAATATGTAACTTATGCTCTTTATTAATTTGACCTTTAAATTGTTTAAGACTGCATGTAGTATATTGAGAACATAACTCCCTTATTAGAAAATGAACTTATTGGTATTAGTTGTAACTGTAATTTTAAGAGAAAGTTTAGTGATAACAATATTTCCTATAAGAATAACAAGAAATTCAGCATTATTAAAGTTAAAATAGTTAAGAATAGTAAAAATATTGTGCTCAGCTTAAAGCACAGAGCCCTCTTGGACTGCGATCCTAAAGCTTTAAAATGTAAATATAATTAAATAAGTAACGAGTATGCATAACCGATCACATGGCCTAGGCTTGCATTTTTAACATTAAGGCGGCTCTTTAAACAGACGAGCTGGAACAGATCAGGGTGGTCTAAAGCTTTAAAGAGAAAACTTCCAACAGAGTTGCAGTTAATGTTTTTACCATTAATAATAATAGACTGTATGAAAATCGTTACCTCGCAGTACTTTCAATTGTCCAATCTTTGATGATAAAAGCGACACCCATCATAGGCTCTTCGCACAGTGGCCCTGCCAACGTGGCCATTTGGAAACCGTTTATGAAACTGCTGTTGTATTCATGTAACATACTGTTACTGACTTCAGCAGTGGCTTGTTCCCAAAAATTATGATGGTAACCTGAAATCATAAATATAAATATAAGCCGAGGCATGATACTCATGAGTTAGAACATAAGATTACCATGTTGACCAAAAACTGAACTATATCTGTTATTCTTATTAATTTCGATGAAGATTTACAATTAAACATTGAATGAAGGTACATTATAAATTATTAAGTATATGATGTATATTACAAACTCATGGACCATTATTAAAAAAAATATATTTAACTGTGATTTTGTATTCTTAATGCCAAAAGTAACAGTCAGTTAAAAAAAAATCCTATTAAAATAATGTATATCAATCCTATGAGATAAAGGTAGGTTTATGTTGGAGTTGTAGTATGTGATAAACGATGAGAATCAGATTTATTGTGTCAAATAAAACTTAAAACATTAAAATGAAATAGTTAAATAAAATTGGTGATGAGGAAGTTGTAGTAGATATCCTCTAGTATTTACTCCTTTATGTGACATTGAGTGAGGGAATGAGAAGGAATATATAGGAGTGTGAGATTGCACTATGAATTGTACTCAATTGTCCAGAAGACAAATTGTTAATTGAAAACTCTCATATCGATAAACAATCAACAAAGAAGGAAGAAGCCTGGAAAAGAGCCGGTAGGTGGCAGCTGGAGTTCAGCTGGAGAAGGATGCCAGAGAACAAAGAAGAAACTTGAGGCCTAAAGAGGGAGGAGGAAGGAAGGAGGATTAAGAATATCAAGCCTACAGTTATAAGACTTTAATAGATTCAATTTATTACAATTGTGGAAATAAATTATTTTGTTATAGAGGAGTGAATAGTCCTTTTATTTAGTTGTCCTATATGCCTCACAATTGAAGAATAACAAACCAGGTGAGTCAATTTATTCAAAGTGTATTTACTCAGTCCTACATTTCATATATATATATTATTATTATTATTGCTTGTCACTCATTGTCACAAAAGCATTAGGTTCCCGAATTCCCAATGACAGTTAAACACCCTCAAAAAATATTTATCCAGTGTCGGGGTTTTGTTTTAAGAAAATTAAATTCACTAGTGAAAATAGCCTAGACCCCGAAAAAACGAGAGGCTATTTATAATTGCTGCCAAACAGGTTATTTACAATTTTTCCCTGAACAAGGTTACTTACAAAGTGGGATAAAAAAAAAAAGATAGTAAAAGTAAATAAATTAAAAAAATATTCAATGTAAGACCTTCCATTCATGTTACATTATAGACCTTCTGAACAAAAATCTGTAATGTGATCAGAATACAACAAAGAAATTTTTAAATTTATGACTATGTTCTCAGGTAGTGAAAATTTTCTAAAAAGTTGTTAGGTTTTTTTTTTTTTTTTCGGTCAACTCAAGTAAAATGCATAACTCTTACGCAAAGTGAGTAACAAGGAAAAATAAGGAAAGTATAAATAAAAAAATTTAAGAAAAGCCTTTTTAGAAATAACAATCAGCTTGTCTATTAGTGCATGCTACTGAAAGAATGTAAAACAAATCAATACTTTTTTTTTTTAAATTCAAGATAATATATTTCTTGAAATGATTTTCTTTTATCATAAAGTTTGAATGAATTACATCCCCAAGAACAACGTTCCTTAAGTTTCTTACCTTTGAATAATACTTTTAATAAAATTAAGTATTTTTACTAAATCATTTTACAGTGAAAACATTTGATTAGAATAAGCTCCCTCCGAAGAAAAATTGTAATTTGATTCATGATAAAAATCATAATAAATACTGTAACTTCCACCAATCTAACCTGATTGATGTGAAGGCACTAAATCTGCTTTTATTTCTAAGGTATGACTAATTTCTCTAAAATATAAAACCTAATTTAAAAGAAATAACATAATTGAGACGTACCTTGGATTGTATTAAATAATATATTCGGACCACAACGCCTAGGACCAAAGCTCCAAATTTTTTCAACAAAATTATCTTCACTCCATGGAGGACCTGCCTCACTGAAGGCATGAGCTAACTTTTCTTTAAAAATACTTATTTCTCGTAATGTTTTCTCGGACAGTTGTAATGGAATATTTGTTATGTTTTCATCTTTCAAATTCAACTTGTCTAAACCATCCTCGATTTTGTTGATTTTTTCCAAACTGCTAATAAATTTGTCAACTATTTTGATTAGGTCAACATTTTTATCTAAAATATCTGTAACACTGGCGGGAAGAGAGGCACACAAAATTTTTATTTCAGCTTGCTTGCCCGGAGTAGTCATTGTTACTAAGCCTTCCGAATCTACATTTGAGCTTTCTGTTGTTTCCTAAAAAAAAATTATAAAATAAAATTCTTTTATATCCATGCATATACATATACATAAAATATTACAGTTTCAATGTGTTGAAAGCTAACCTTCTTAGATATGTATTGTTCTTGTATTGCTTCATTAACCATATCGAGTACGGGTGGAGGGACAACAGTTTCTCGAAAAGGGATGATAGGTTCGGAAGAATTAATTTCTATTTTAGCAAACCTATAAAATCACAGACGTATAGATTCTCAAATTATTTCAGATACAAATTAATGTCATTCAATAAGAATTTGTAATTAAAACAAAATAATAGCACTACATACCTAGTGCGAAGATCATCAAGACATCTTTCCAAATGAACTTCACCTGCTGTGATTAACACATGTTCTCCAGTTTCTTGAACTAAAACCTATAAAAACATAGAATGATTAAAAAATTCATATTTAGGGGGGAGGGAAAAGGTTATAGTATTATCAAATTATTTTTTAAGTGCCTTAACATTTACAAATTTAAAAAAAAAAATAATCCTAAACAAATAAATGCATTTATGTGATAGAGTAATCAATGAACAAAACACTAACCTGTACACAAGCATCGGCTTGATTTAGAAGTTTCAAACCCTTGATTAACTGAGGAAGATCAGAAGGTTTGACAGGCTCTACGGCAACTCTCAAAATAGGAACTGCCATGAGTGTTATTTCCGAGAATGAAGGGCAAAATATTTCGGATGAAAGAGTAGCAGACTTTAAGACATAGTCGTCAAGACCACCGATACCTATAAATCATTTAAATGCATCGTCATTATTAAAAAATCACAAATAAATAAATATGATGATGAAAGGTATATGATTATATTTTCACCGATAACGTTTCCAGCAGGAGCTTCGTTTACAATTTCCAACTCTCTTCCCATCATAAGATAGAGTTCTGATATCTTGATCTTCGTTGCATGATGTCCTGGTTTCCAGTCCTTAACAGGTATGTTTTCTTCTATTTCTTCTCCTTTTTTAATCTAAATAAAACGTGTTTGAAGTCCATGAAATTTTTTTTTTTAATATATCAAAACAAATAGGTACTTGAATGAATTCTCAATTTTTATTAGTCATTAAAATTAATGACATACAATAAAAACACAAAAAGCCCCATATTTTTCTGATGCATATTTGCGAAGATAATTAATATAGCATAATTATGTATATATATTAAAAATATAAAATAGTTAAAAATAAATATATACACTACTGAATCTTGTAGGTATATACAGAGTTTTAGTATTTTATAATATAGTTTTTCCTGAATACCTTCTTTAGTCTGAACTTTTTAATAAACCAACCCTCCCTCCCATTCCCAGCAATAAGTTCAGACTCATGAGATTGTATGCACTATAAATTCAATACATGAATGATGTAACTAGATACATAATAATATACAACTTTATAGGATTAAAGGAAATGAAAAAAACAATAATTAACATTTATATAGCAGAATGTTCAAAATAACTACATAATAATTTATAAATTCAAAACTAAGCTAGAACGTAATAGTAAATAAAATTATACCATTCTCAGAGCTTCAGCAGGATCATGTTTTGGCCCGAGAACATAAACTGACGAACCCTGCTTTAAACACCCACTATAGACCCTCGCAAACGCAATGAATACATCTTCAGAAAGTTCAGGTTCAGGCTCTGGTGTTGGAGCCTTGTCGGCTTCGTCTTCTAAAACTGTTCCGGCTAATTTAGCAGCGTGGCGCAATTTGGCCTGCTCCCTCCTCTTAGCCATTTCTTCAGGAGTCAGAGCTTGTGGTCTGTTTTGAGGAAGTGATTTTCTTTCCATCTGAAATTTTAAAAAATAAACGATTTACTTGAAGGTAATATATTGACGAAGGAGGGTACAAATGATTCTAAATGTCGAGCCTTAATGCAAAGAGAAGAATCTGAAGCCTTCAAAGTTTCGACTGACTTGTGGCAGAGAGATAGAGTCTTGCCCCATGAAAAAATTCTTGGATAAACAGATGATATAGCTGTCCTTTAAAATGATCAAGAGATACTGAGGGACTTGATAAGACTCTGATAAGAGGAGCTGAGGAATCCTAAAAATCTCTTGAAATCTCCAATTAAGAGTATAAATTTCTATTAACCAGAAACCTAGAAAGAAGTATCGCACATGAAACAATATGAAATCAGAGTACTAATACATGATGGAGAAGGACCGATAAAGAACTTCTGACAGAAAATAGTCAATGAATATCTCATGTGAACGCGATGACAGAAAATATGAAGGCAAGAAGGTTAAGATGTGTGCCCTGTCCTATAAATCATAGCATAATAATACACATATAATAACACACCATAATAATATACTCAAAGAAGTAAAATAATAATAAAAATAAGGCCATTAATCCTGGGTCTTATGTGATAAATCTTAGGGAATCTTGAGTTTTAATGTTGACTACATTGAAGAAAAGTTTCTTACATACCTCTCTGAACAAAAGAATGCTTCCAAAACCTCAACATACAAATTCAGACTAAACACAATACTCCCATTTATGCCTTGGTCTTCTACCCACTCTTTTACCTAATTCATTTTTCATTAATAAAACGAACATAGACACACATTTTAATTAATGTACTGCTGTCATAAATTATTTATATATTTCTACAAATATAATAATAATAACTACTAAGAAATAAAATAAACAGAAAAGAAAATCCAAGAATTTAAATCAAAATTAAAATTTATTTATTGCTATAAATCGTAATTTAAAATAAAAATTCGGGTAAATTATTTTTAAGGCAAATTAATATTATGATTCATGAATGATCAACTTAAATAAAATAAAAATGGAATAAAAATAAAATAAAATAAAATAAAAAATGGAAAAAATCATCATACTATCATCATGAAAGTAAATTTTCATAAGAATTAAATTAAATTGACAATCAATAAATTTATTTACGTACTGGAAACATTTTTGAAATGTAAACAATAAGTGGATCATTTTCAGTTGACGAGCAATTCAGAAATGCCTTTTTCAAAGACTGAGTTTCAAGCGGATAATGTTGTAAGCTTTCTTTAGTAGAGCACATCAGCTTTTCAACTTTTTCTTCTGGAAGCTGATTGGAGGGTGGTAAGATCTGACAAACCATTTCTAAAAACAAAAGAAATGTATTAAAAAACTTAAAAGAGAAAAAAAAACATTGAAGACAAAATAAACCATTAGTTCAAGATACAGCAGCTATTTTTCAAAACATTATAAAACAATTAATTACAAATTTTAGTTCAAATTGCATAATCCAATAAAGAAAATATTATAGATTTATTAACAATAAAATTATTAGATATAGATTAATACTTCAGAGTAATAATGAAGAAGGTGAAGCAGATTTTAAAATAAATAACTGACACTATTACTCAAGCAAATTAACACTATGTTATGTCGAAATTAAAATTATTTCTTAGTACAGTAATTAAATAAATATTATTAAAAAAACTATATTTTTTAAAATAAATAACATAAGCATAATGAGTAATTAAATTAATTTAATTTAAAAATTGTAATTTTTAAATAAATAATATAAGCATACCGAGCACTGAATTTGCCAAGGGCAGCCACTGGCTGCTAACGGCTTGCAATTGAACTTTAGGATCGTTGTGTCGCATATCTCTAGTTGTTATTTTTACACCAACAGTCTCGATAATTTTTGAAAGTTTTTCTTTATCCTGGAAAAAATAAATAAAATAGAATAAATAATATATAAAAAAGAAATAAAAATATATTAATCAGATAAACCTACCTTTCTGACACAAATCGTATCATAAAGAGCCCAAATATTATCCAGAACAAACTGGACAAAAATGGGTTTTTTGGCCTTTTCCTGAGCACCAGGTAAGATTTTTTTTGTTTTCGAGTTAAAGTAAAAATCTCCCCAAAGACATTTTTTTAAATGTTGTTCATCTAAATCAAACTTTGTTGCATATAAATTGACAAAGTTATCTAGCCTAGAAATAAAATAAAAAATTAGAATGAATATAATTGATTTATAGCAAGTTACATATGCATAAAAATATATGTATACATACCGAAAACCCCAGCCATCTATAGCACTAGCGAAAACTACGTTGTCTAATTCTGGTGAAAAATAAATGTTTGAATCATCTGCATCATCTAATCCAGAATCCCAATCATAAGTAGTATGAGTTTGGTTCGGTGTTTGAGAAGATTCTTTTTCAGTTCTTCCGAGTACTTCAGTAGCAAACAATTCACCCATTACCGCATTAACCTATTAAAAAAAATATACAGGATCTCTTAAGGTTAAAAATACTAAATCTGCCAAGGAATTTGGGGAATATTTGGTAACAGAGAAAAAGTAATATAAATATAATAGATCATTTAAAAAAAAAGTTAATGACATATATCATAAATTAGTTTCTGGCTGATTTATGATAAATTTTTACTTCAGATGTCTTTAATTAACTTTTTATTGCAATAAATTCCATACTATATTGGAACATTTTAAACAAATTGACTTACTAAATAAAAATAGTATGTAGTTGTTAAAACTTAAAACTAAAAATTATTTCATAGACAAGTTTGAGATCAAATAAAAGTCCTATAAATAGTGAGAATTTGAAACTTAATATATATTTTTTTTAATTCTCATAGTTGAAATGCACAATTATATTTAACAATACAATAAAACATATATTTCAAAAGATTTGAGTGACACAAAAATGTGAAACTATTTTATGTTTCTAGAAGAATAGTTGGGAATAAATATACATGCACCAAATATGCACATACTGATGAATGATATAAGAAACTAATAAAATAAGCTATACCTGCTCTAAAATTTGAGTTAAGTGAATAAAAGCATCTAAAGGTGTCAATTTCATTTCTAAAATCAGTCTATCGATTTTGTTCAGCACAAGAACGGGTTTGATATTTTCAATCCAAGTTTGTCTTAATGCAACCTGTAACAATAAAAATGAAAATGAGTAAATTTAAAAAATATTGAAATATAATGCATAATTTCAATTACACTTTAGCAAGAAAGAATTCTCCTTGATTAACAACATGAAAATTTATAAGTCTATATTTTTATAAACGCAATCCAACAAAAAGAACATGATAGTTTTCCAAAGTTAAATGGAAAATTTTAAATCTCATTTCTATATGTTTTTAATTTTTAAGACCAAATCTTCAAATTTGTAATAAAAAAATAAAAAAAATAAAAAGAACTTTATAAAAATTATTACGAACTTAAACCGTGAATAAGGAGAAAAAATTTATGGAAAATGATAAAATTAATGGTAGTGAAAAGTGGTATAATTTTATTCTAGACTAAATTATCTAGTATAGTTAATGTAATTAAGTAATTTAAATAGACAGTGTAAAATAGTAATACATAACCGAAAACAATAAAAGACAATTTCTTTATTAAAATACCCTAATAATCTAGACAACATTACGTTATTTGTCTAAGAGAATGTTCTTAACAAATTCAATGAAACGTACTTGTATTATCATTAACAGTTTTAAAACTATATACTTCCTATATTCTTACCGTTTGAATAACTAAATATTCATTGTCGAATGTAATGTAATTATTAAATGAACAAAATATAAAATATATATAACAAATAATTCGTGAAATGAACATAATTGGAAAGGGCTCATTTTTAACTTCGTTAATCAGTGCTACCACAAGTATGATATTAAAATTAAGAACAATGAAATGATTCTATTCGTTTTATAAATGTATAGAAAAATTAGTAACAAAATAAATAAGAATACTTTAAAATATATTTCATTCCATCATTCTACAATATTTAAAAATAGAAACTGGGATAAAAGAAAAATAAGTAGAAATGATAAAACATTAAATTAGCAGGCATAATAAACAAGGTGAATAAATATTATTATAATTGCATTAATAATAATATTTATTCGCCTTTAAAATAAAAACAGTGAAATAGCCGCTAAAAAAACAAAATATAATATAGTTAAGATTCTGGAATGGATGATTATTTCAGTAGAGGCGCGACTAACGTGTTTGATTTATTATTTTAAAAGATGACTTCAATCATTTTGATGAAAAATAACGTTTATAATGTAAGATTCCAGGACTATTTATCTGCAAATAAATACAAATATCGTGAAGGAAAAGGATAACTTAAATTTTAAGTTAATTTAATTTTGACAGAGATCATTTCAAACCCATATATTCCATTTAGGAGGGAGCCCTAGTAACCGACTTATTCCCGCTATTTTAATTTTTGTGACACAACCAACGTCTTTTCTGTATAAACATCACTGCAAACCTTAGATAATCCTGAATCTTTTAAAATTAAGTAAAAGTTCAGTTTAGGCCTCTATATATTGTACTTAGAAATCCTAAATGAGAGCAGAAAGTATTGAATCGATTAATCCAATCCATGCGTTGTGAACTTCAATATAATTAAAAGGTAAAATACTTATAACATAACTATTTATTAATAAATGTATTATATCAGAAAATAATGAGCATAAAACGTAACTTATTTCTTAAAAACATAGCACCAACCCAATAATACGTAAAAGGTTATATAAACTAAACGAGTAAAATAAATTAAATTTAATAATTATTGCACGACTTCTTATTGATACATAAACAATGATTAAGGCATAGTGTCTACAAAATTTAAATGCTCGCTAAGTTTCACTAAAATTCTAAATAAGTAATGAAAAATACTTCAAAAAAGACGATTTGTTTTTAAGGGAAGAGGGGAGGTCGATTTTTTTGAGTATGAATTTACCTGAAAATGTGAAACGAAATAGTACACATTACCTATCTAAAATTTATAATTAATAGTATAGATTTATTAATGTTATCTGATTTGTTTCATCACTAACCAAATTCAAATATCTCATTGAAATATTTCATGAAAACACTTTTTATTACAATTCAAACTTATATATCCCACAACTTCCTAACTGTGGTTGTTTCAAAGCAATTTAAAGAATAGAGTTAACATGTAGGATAAAATAAAATAAACTACTATGAAATTAAGCTTCTCACTAATCATAGTTTGATAGACCAAGTATTCTCCCATTAACAAAACATATTTATAATTATGTTGTTTTATTTCTGATTTATCTCACATTCGGAGATTACCTAATTATATAGTTTACAATATTACATTAAATAACTTACAGCTCAGTATTTGTTCATCATAGGAAGAACAAAAAAGTAGATAAATGCATACTAACATTCATATTAAAGTTCCTGACGTTTTGGTAGTAAATATAAATACCTTATGTATTAAAGCAAAACAAATTTGTTTTAATGTTCGGTGGTGATTTCTGGTTAGATATGTATTTACTTCCTTTACTCTTTCCTTTTCTGTGGAACAATTAAGGCATATGTTGAAGAGGCCTATAGTGCTTGACTAGGGGGCTCGTCTATTAATTAGATAATTAATACTCGTTCTTTGAATCAACTAAATATAACTATACTTCTTTTTAAGAATTCCTCAACAGTGGATAGATCTGGTAATTTTATTATTTTATGACAAACCCACAAAATAAATGTTGATCTTCCTACTCTGGATAGAATAGGCTGGTTGTTTGTAGAGTAACTCCTGTTCCTTCTGCAATATGCAATAAATGGTAGATGGAGAAAGAAAAAAGATTTTTTTTTGCTTAATTTATACTTTACATAAATGGTATTGTACACTGCTTTAAAAGTGATTGTATTCTGGGACAGGTTTACCCTTTTCATAGTTGGCTGTCTTCAATTTTTAAACAGTGGTACAAAGCAGAAGTGAGTGATGGAGGAAATGGAAATTAGGATAAATTATTATCTTTAACCTAAGATTTAAGATAAGCGTGATAAGAAAGTCAGCAAGTTTGTAGTAATAGGTTTGAACTTATTTAGATTTAACAAAGTACTACAAGCAATTTTGATATAAACAGATTTTAATATTAATAGGCCACTAAATCATCGAATTCCTCTTGTATCCAATCCTCAATGCTCCTTATTTCTCATAAATAAAATCATCCATAACGACCTTAATGAACCAAATTTTTCCGATTTAGCTCAATGCCTATCCTTCCATAATAAACTTCCGAGTCATCTGAATCCTCTTGTTTCTAACCTTGCTTCCTCTTCGATCCTGATAACCCTCCGAGGTGTCTGAGAAGGTGGCCTCGGGACCTTCTAAAGTAGAACTATAACTGGAGTGCTACTAATGCGTAGTTTATGTTGTACATGTCATATTACCAATTTAAATTTACTACTTGTATTTTTTTAATCTATTACAGTAGTAAATTACAATAAAACTTTGTTTGTCCCACCTAATCACATATGATTGGGTGATAGCTTTTATTAGTGCCGACATTTCAACCGAAACATGTGGATCATCAGGGCTAAAAAATTTTAAATACAATCAGACATATAATATTAATGGTTAGTCCTAAACTATAGTAATTGATGGTACATACTTCTTAATTAATAATACAATACAAAATATTATAAATGAAAATAAGTAAAAAGTTATACAAACTAAAAATAATGTATATAATCCATTTATAAAAATTATAATATTTTCTCTTACTAATTGACGTTCGAGCACTGAAGGTATTCAAGTACTGACACATTTGGTAGGTAAGTGAAATGGTCGGGGAAGGATTTCTCAGTTGTCTTTTTTCAGATAGCAAAAGGTAGGTAAACATAGTCAAAGGGGGGAGAGAGATAACATTTCTGTTTGCAGAATGTTAATAATTTGCTGAATAAATATTCAAGATTTGTGTTGGTTCTTATGGTTACAGAATTGTGAATATTGGCTAGTAATGAAATGAACATAAGCAAGAGGATGGCAATCATTATAAATATAACATAGTTTGATTAAAGGTATACAATGGTTAGCCAAATAATATTTATAATAAAGACAATTTTAATGGATTGAAATGATACGTAGGACAATATATTATACAATATTTTAAGAATAATAATATCAATCATAATAGAAATATCTATTATATTAAGGATTACATAGTTTTAATAGTATGAGTATAAACATATCTGTGCCAGTATATAGTATATATTTATATTGAGAATGTCCATTATATGTATATATATATAATAAACATATGAGTGGATGTTACCTATGTAAGTTGACGGGGAAATGGAGAAAATGAAAAACTAATTTTTAATGATTATATACTGTTTTAGGAGGCAGAAAATATTCAAATATGTGTTGCAGATCTTTTCTTTATCTACTTTGTGATTTGCAGGATTTTTTTTTTCCAAATTAATGAATATAGCTTCAGAAAGAAGTCGTTTTTGGTGATTGGGAACTGTGACAGTTGGGTTTTCAAAATCAAATGTGTGCTTAAGGATTATGGCGGTGTTCGGCTAGTTTCGAGTCGAGCGGGTTTCGTGTGGAGATGCTGTATTTGTGTTGATATATTCATTTTTTTAAATAGTGCAGTTTGGGCTAGAGCATGTAATATGGTATACAATATTTGATTGTTGTTGAGCAAACAGGATCCTTGAGTTTGGTGTATAGATTTCTTAATTTACTATTATTTTTGGAAACTATTAGCAGATGGGGAAATTTGGAAGTTAAAGTTTTTTGATTTTTTGAGATAGGACCGGGATGTATGGAATGGATCTGTATTGGCGAATCGTGGTGGGCAAATGAGAGCAGTTTATGGGAGACTGGTGAAGAAACGTCGGCACTAATAAAAACTTTATAATGACTGCGTCCTGAATATTTATCACCCATGGTATGTAGAACAGTCGACTAACTTCCTTCAATAAAACTTTTTTTATATATATTAATAAGGATTTATTAACGAAGGAAGTTAGTTGACTGTTTTACATATCATGGGTGATAGATAGTTAGGATGCAGTCAGTTTTTAAGATTTTTATTGCCAATGTTTCAACTCAAGCTTGTGGGTCATCATCAGGTGTTCATAAGGTCTCCA